GAAACTGTGCTACTATCGATGAAGCTCTCGACCTCCTCGACCTGTTTTCCTCTCTCGTGAGCAGAACGCAGTACTTTCCGGACTCAAGGATAGATGGTAAGAGGTCATTAGACACACACAATGAAGAAGGAGGAACCAAGAGACTTCTGGAGATTCGTAATATGGCACTTCGTTACCTATGTCGAGTAGATAAGCTGTGTCGCACAAACAGCTTTGCCTCCACTCATTTGGACAAACCAAACCTTCACAGATTGTTGGAGTTCTTCACACATACATTGCCACTGTTCGGTAGTGTAAGACATGTACAAGAGTTGTTGTTTGAAAGCGCTCATCAGCCATTGAAGAGGGGGGTAGCTCAATCCAATATGAAAAACTCACAATTACAGGCTATGGAACATCGTCTTGCCAACGACTGGAAGACTCGTCTGGCAATTGAAACTGAAGTCATTGACACTAGTGAGAACGGCTGGAGCTTTGAGACAGCGAAGTCGGTTTTAAATCTCTTGGGCTACGACAGTTCTGGGCTTCAGGATGCGGGAAGATTTCTATAAAAGCTTCAGGACTGCTTCCCAACTCCTGTTCTGCAGAACCTTCGATTACATCGGAAAGGACTCTTATCGTCGTCTCTTAGTAGGAAGGACTGGCGCGTAGACAATTCAGTAATTATGAACCTCGGAAACACTGCAGACGGAGGTCAACATTCGGAAATGTTCCAATCAACTGACCTTGCATTTCTGTTGAAAGCAAGGGAGTTTTTAGAGCATTTATGGAAGCAAAAGCTACGTCTTAGAAGTGGCCGGCCGGACCATGGAAATTCCGTAACCGTACAGATATATGGAACTGCCAAGTGGTGCAAAATAACAGACGGGCGAAAAAGAGACCAGACATCTGTTTTGGCCACTATATCTTATGGGAGCGTGATTCAAGCCTTGCATTCTTCTGTAGTTTCGACCGCAGATCCTGATCTCACATTCACTCTTCATGAGAACAATGATTCTGAGCATGATGAAGACAGAAGGTTCTGGATGGTGCTAGCCGTGGTTCAAGTCCGGATTCTGGACGCTCGTGAGAAAGAAAGTCAAGAAACAACACGATATTGCGCAGTGAAGGAGTGCGAAGCTGAAGAAGATGGATACGGGGTGATGATACAACAACGAAACGAAAGAAGAGCGCTGGTTGAGCTTGGAAGCTACGTTCGAAAGGCATTAGTTATGCACTACTGCGAGCAGGACAGCGCCGAAAGCGACGACCATATGTGTCTCATATGCACATCAAACTCAGCAGTACAACACAGGAGTCTCCCAGACGGTGGAATTTATCAAGTGTGGGGGCGAAAGGAAGGGTATCCGCCACGTCAGGCATAAGTATATGTGCGGAACAAGAACTCTGGTCTTTATTCAACAGTTTTTAGTACTACCACACAGCTCTGCATACTTTTATGCACCGACTATAAGCTCTGCGCCGGCCTCTATATCCGTAGTTGCGACATATAAACTGTATCGTTATTGCAAACAAAATTCAGGTCTGCTACCTTTGTGGGCTTGTTGCAAGGGGGCTCGTTATGTATCCCCGCCTTTCGAAGTCCGTGTCCTTACACCTCTCTAGTTCCCGCAGCCAGTCTGATCCTTAACTTTTTCGTTTCACTGATCACAGGCCGGCAGGGGGTGTCGTCCGACATCGTCATTGCTGTATAAAATTTGCAAATTGGGGTGCAAATTTTGAGAGTTAGGACCGGTGATCAGTGGGGAGCTGTGATCAGTGGCCACCGATCACAGGCCGGCAGGGGGTGTCGTCCGACATCGTCATTGCTGTATAAAATTTGCAAATTGGGGCGCAAATTTTGAGAGTTAGGACCGGTGATCAGTGGGGAGCTGTGATCAGAGGCCACTGATCACAGGCCGGCAGGGGATTCAGGAGTAAGGAGTAGGATGGTTTTTGTACTTTAGGGATTCGCAGTGCTTCGGAGATTTAGAGGAGTCGGGGAGTAACTAGGATTAGAAGATTCGTGGGATCGGCTGTTGGAAACGTGATATCCCTGTTTCGGGTTCTCCAGGTACGAATAACGTCCGGGGAGGGCATGTTGTCCTTCGTCTGAAAACCGCGTCGACCATCATTGGCAATGCGAGCCATGATAGCTCGCAATGTATAATTGTTAATTGCAAATCCCCGGGAGGCAGTGTATTTAATGCGCTGCTTAATGATTTTGTCCTCGTCCGCTTTGACGACACGAGGGGCTCCGGGACGGTTGTTGGCTGGGTCAAGAAGGCGGGACAGTTTGTCCTCGTCCTTGGTCTTGAGACATTTTTGTAATCGGTCTGCTGTCCCACAACTGATGATCATCAGTGTGGTTCGCCTCACAGTCGACTGTGAGGCGAACCACATGGGCAACCTTTTTTTCATCTTCAATAAATTTACCGCTGTCTGCCGTTTGTCTTTGGCCCTTGCGTCCCGTCTGTCCCTTGCTTGGCGCGCGCTGCCTGACGACGCATTCTAATCGACATCGCAGGGGGCGTGAATTGTCCGTTACTGGATGCCAATCCCGGGAGCAGGACGAGAAGGTGTTTGATCGTGGATCAATTACTACTGTTTGGCCTTTAACGGTGCTGTGTGCCCGCCATTTTTTTGGCGGGACGGGGAGAAGTGAGGAGGTAACATTTCGGGAAACTGGAGGCCTGTTTCGTGAACATGACGAGAAAGTGTTTGATCGTGGATCTAATACTACTGTTTGGCCTTTAAAGGTGTTGTGTGCCGGCTATTTTCTTTTTTGGCGGGACGGGGAGAGGTACGGAGGTAACATTGCGGGAAACTGTAGAAGAGGTGAACGCTTAGGCCCCGGAGCGTTTCCCTGAAGTCCAGGGATGAAAGACTGCACCCATTGTCCGCACTGGCAGCAACGAGAACTGAATCATCAAATTAGCCTTTTTACCAAATAATGCTTTTAGGGAAGGGTATACCGCGCAGGCCTGCATGCGCAGACAAGTTTCTTTGGAATGACATGTAATGGCTGTCGCGCGACAAGATTTACAAAAGCTGTATGGCTGGCCAGCCATACTGGAACTAGATTAATTTTTGTTAATTTTTTAGAGGTTGATTCTAGTATGGGTAGCCACCCATACAGCTTTTGTAGATCTTGTCGCGCGACAAACACATCACACGTGTGGACCCAAATGCAATGTATTACACGTGTGGATCGATATGCAATGTTTTACACGTGGCGACCAAAATGCAATGTATTACACGTGGTGACCAAAACGCAAGGTTTTACACGTGCGAGAAGCTGGTGGATGATGATTGGCCGATTATGATACGGAATCGTATACAGTGCCTCCTACGATATAGTGCTATAGCGTGACATACCTCTAGCTATGGCACTATTGGGGGGATGGCACTATATAAAGGAGGCTCAAATACATATATTTGGGGACAAAGCACACTTGTAACACAAACACAACAAAGCCTGCATAACACAACATCCTTTGGTCAGGGCCTCCTTTAAGACAGCATGGATAGCTGTACTGCGTACTGAACCATGCCGGATGATACACGTGTGAGCTTATGATAACCTGTGCCAGAGGGCGAGCCATAGCACTATATAGAGGGAAGCACTACTATAGTAGGCACAATTGAGCGACCCCCTCCTGCAACCGGTCCGTTCTGCCCAGAGAAAACCCCCCCTACTTCGCCTGCATACACTGTAAGTCTGCAACGTGTGCGGATGTTCACACACACCCGAACACGTGCAAGGCCCAGCAAGAGTACCTTCCTAGTAAACCTTTTAGAAACGCAAAAATCGCAGCGAGCAACGACAAAGTGCTCAAGGCAACCCTGCTTTCTACAAGAGCGTTTTCCGGCTACCGCAGAGACAATTGAAACAGCTTCAACCGTGTTGCACTTCACTGTTCGAGTAGAATCTTCGTTCTATCCTTCAGCATGGAGCCAATGACTGACCGCGGCTTTCCAAAAATGCCAGAACCAGGCGGCCGAGCCCATACTTTGGAGTCCTCAGCCTCGATGTGCTGGACTCTTTTATTCCTGGCTTACTCTTCTTCGACATTTGTCAACGAATTTGGACATGGATGGCAAGCAGCTTGGACGGTGCTATTAGTTTTGGTTCCAGTGTGCCTCGCCGGTGCAGCCAACATCATGGATGCTCGCCGCCGCGCAGTCCCTATATTGGCAATTTACATAGCGTATATCCTCATCCCGTCACTGCTTCAGCTCACAAAGCCAGACGACCACTCATCGCTTCGCTCCGAAATGGCCGACCTGATTACCGTTCTTTGCATCTGGCTTCCACTGGAATTTAAGCTGTTGTCATCGGACATATCACCGACTGGAAAGGTTACAGCCTGGGGCTTGTTCACCGCAGCTTTGACAGTCGTGAAATGCTTCACAATTCTACGCCCTTTTCAAAGCTGGCCCACGCTCGTGACTTGGGCTACACTTTCAAGGTAACCCCAGTCGATGTGCTGATAGCGCTAGCTGTGGGTGCTGCCTCTGATCTCATCACCGTTCCACTTGCCGCCCTAACCCGGTTTGCTGACGTCAAGACGCCACCTCGTTTAGACGCGGCCAAAGAAGCCGCCACTTTCCTAGGCATATTCATGAACGGCGTTACCGAGGAGCTTATATTTAGGGGTATGATTCAGAATATGTTGGAGCAACGCCTAGGCCACGGGTCCATATCTGCACTACTCATCGCGTCTGGTGCCTTCGGCATTGCACACTTAGGGAAATCAAAACTTGGATATGACCCGCCAAACGTTCGATACATGGCCTCCGCCTGTGTCACCGGTGTTGCGTGTGGGTTCGTATGGCGACAAACAGGAAAAGTCACAGCTTCCGCGCTGACGCAGGCCACGTCGAATTACATTATGTGGCGCGTCGCGTTAAGCAAAAAAGTTGGCCAGTAGACAGCGTTTTTTCGTAGCTAGAGTCCCTGTATAGCACTTGACAATGATTTCCACTCTTAAACTCACTGAGCACACTCTAATGCTAGTCTAGTTCGTCCCACAGGTCATCGTGCTTGTCAATATCGACCCATTCTCGGGTAGGGTTTTTCGTGTAGAGCGTGGCATTGAATTGTCCAGGTCGCCCATATGTCTCTCCATTAGCACCTTCGAAGCGAAACGGGTTACTTGACATGAGCACGCAGTTTGACTCCTCGCCGGGAAAAGCCGGAACAGAGATTCCCTTTTCCAAAAGTAGCTTTGAGGAAGATGTCGACCAGCTATAAAGTGGTAGCCCCCGGCAAACACATTTGATCCAAGCTTTGGTGCTTCTAAAGACACTAGCACTTCGGGTTTGATAAACGAATCTGCTGTCACATCAATTTTTCTTGGACCCGTCGAAAGATCCCAGCCAGATGGTACATCAAGGCTCACAATCGCAAGCCGAGTTGAGATTAGCATCTCGTAAACAGTCCAGTACTGTTGTCGAATGTCCCCCCCATCAAAGCCAGTTCCAAGCAAGGCATCTACAACGATGTCATAATAAAACTCTAGCGTGCTGGGAATGAAGTCGTGCAAGTCGATTCCGGCTTCATCGCAGACATATCGGAAATTAGCATGCTTAGATTGCTCTGCAGCATAGACCGCTGGTGCATAACCTCTCTTCTGCAGCTCTACAGCGACTTGCAATCCAATTAAGCCGTTTAAACCTGAGCCGCAAGCAATAAACACATCTGATATTTCTTCTGAACCATAGCATTGTTGTAATGCATCACAAAATCCACTTGCACAGGTTCTAGCCATAACCACAACGTCCCCACCTGAGTATGTAATAGCATCATTAATGGCTTGATTTGCCAATTCCGGGGAAATATGAGTCTGCCGGGGTTTGGAGTTATCTCGTTGCTTACTGCTTTTGTCCACTTCCATTTGCATCGATATTCTGCCTTGCGACCTTCTGTGTCCTGCGACTCTGAAGTGCTTGGCACGGGCTCTCTTGGAGTTGCACAGAAATGCGTGAATTCATGGGTCTCGCCAATGGGCTCGAGACTTCAAACGCTGTCTTCTGAGAAGCCATGATTACACACGGAGGGATTTCTTCTAATGCGACCAGCCTGGCCTATTCCCGAAACGATTGATTGGAGGTGAGAATGATGCAAAGCAAGCAAAATGTATTCTGGAGTGCAGCCTTTCTAGGGTGACGCTTGAATGCTTCAAGACTCCAGTCTCACGAAGCCTCTATGACTGTTTTCTGACTGCTGTGCACGTCCTAAAGCAGGAACTTGAAGCTGGAGCCGAAAAGCTGTACTTGGTGTCCTCAACTGCTTGTGCTGCAATCTGCACTGATGTGTGCCCTGGGACTTTGCTTGGTCAATTTGAGGTCGTGGGATTACTCAAAACACCGGTCAATCTCAAAAGAATGAAAAAATTCAATTTCAATGCCACACCAACCATCTTCCGTAATTTTTCAACGAGACGAAGCCCAGTTTTGTGAGATTGCTGTGTGTCTCAAGCAGTGTTACGAGGCATTCGGTTGCCAGGTGGCGGCTGGACACGCGTACCACGGGGCGGAGCGCATCCGTATACCGCCGAAGGACGGGCAAGCGAAAGGCGGGAAGGAGGGAGCGAGACAGCACGCGCGGGGAATTGGGGGTGCCAGCCACCGGGGAGACGAAGGGAAACCATAGGCCGCACGGGGCTCGGGCTGGGGCAGAAAGACCGCGCAGGTCGCCGGCCGAGGGCGCGAAGGGAAAATGGCACGAGGGGGTGGCTACCGGTGGGGCAAGGGGAAGCTGGATCGAAGGGGAAATTACGGGAGGGAGGGTTGGGGATAGCCGACTCATCCCGGGGAACGTGTACTTAAGAAGCCATCCCCGAAGATAGGAAGGGGGAGGCAGCAGACTTGTGAGGAGTAAAAGAATACGGGTGGATTCCCGTCATTACAGGTCGCTCGGTGCCCCGCGGCAGAATTGCCGCAACAGCACCCCTCAATATACTTTCCTCGCGTCTTTCGCGCTCACAATGTCAAGAATGACAAGCACCTCTAGCTATGGCACTATTGGGGGGATGGCACTATATAAAGGAGGCTCAAATACATATATTTCGGGACAAAGCACACTGCTAACACAAACACAACAAAGCCTGTATAACACAACTAAATAACTAGCACTATATAGAGGGAAACACTACTAAAGTAGGCACTATTGAGCAACCCCCTCTGTAACATATAATGGCTGTCGCGCGACAAGATTTACAAAAGCTGTATGGCTGGCCAGCCATACTGGAACTAGATTAATTTTTGTTAATTTTTTAGAGGTTGATCCTAGTATGGGTAGCCACCCATACAGCTTTTGTAGATCTTGTCGCGCGACAAACACATCACACGTGTGGACCCAAATGCAATGTATTACACGTGTGGATCGATATGCAATGTTTTACACGTGGCGTCAACCTTGAAATCAAAACTCTCACACTGACAGTGTGCATTTTGTGATGGCAGTGTGCATTTTGTGATGGCATTGTGTGAGTTGTGTGGGGGCATCACGAAGATCACATATAAAAGGCTCTCCATCTCAAATGGCAAACAAACTGAACAACGTCACACAAAAAAATATCTCCGTTTCCAGCCCTCTACGGCTAATTTCCAGAGACACTTCCCCTTCCCTTCGTGTTCGCAACTGCTTAGGTTGAACCAGAATGTACTGCACGAGAAGGTCAGTGGGACCCAAACCTACTGCGTACTCTGTATTGGGGTCAAAAGACGGACAAAAGACGGGCCCAAGGCACTTAGAAAGGGCTCGCGCCAAGTTCAGTGGTGTTCTACATGTAGGCAAGCTACCTGCTGCAGCTGCCGGACGGTCTGGCATTCTCGCCCTACACTGAAGCACCATGGGCCCTCTCCTGTCCATGAGAGGGAGTTTGACTCTGGGCGACGCACTTTTCAACGAATAAGGCAGGCTTCACAAGCCCGAGAGTGAAGGCCGCAAAATGTCTGTAGAACAAGGCTATCAGCTATGCTTTTTAAATGGGTTTGTGATGGTTTGTTGATGTTGGAGATGATTGTGAGACAATGGTGTGAGAGTCACAAAACAATTTGTGTGTGAATCACAAAACAGTCAACAAAAGAGCACTTCAAGATGTTGACGTCACAAAAATAAAGTGATTCTAGTGGTGACAGTGATTCACAGAGGAAGGGCACTGATGAGGACGACATCCAAGAGTAGGTACTGGGTAATTCATACTTTCAATAGCGAGAACAGTATCATCATCACTCTGTAGGGACACTTCTATCTTCATTGCACAATTAAATCTAAAGCAACTATGATTAAAAGAACAGTAATTCAATGACACATGACTGACTTTCAAAGCAATCCGGACTGGATGATGTCGGTACCTTTGGAGCCCATACCCAGCTCTTCACTTGCACGTCTAAGTCGCATGGTATTTAGATGCTGCACAGAGCCGTGCATCTTTAAATGTGACCGTTACAAAAATATCGATTTCACAAAAAACACATATGTCTATATACTGACTACGTTCCAATTGGAACCATTAATGGTTACCCCCAACTCTTTAGTCTTCGGTATATATTTCAAACAAATTTCTCAAGTATCACTTTCCAAGGGAAATTAACAGAGGACGATACCATCCACCAGTTGATAATGGTATCAGATCTTTTCAATGGCCTCCAATTCGGGAGTGATATAGAGGTCTACTATACCTTGGAGAATGAAGAAGAAAGCAAGGCATGGTTCCCAGCAACAGTCATTAGTCTCAACTACCTTCATGATGATCGTGGAGAGGTGCTCAAAGGGACCATTCAATACAAGGCAGCGTTTGGATTCAGGGCATGTAAAAGCAAGGTTACTTTCAAGGAGGGAAACGGGTTTGTACAAGATGGACAAAAGTTTAGCTGGAGACTCAAAGATACATCGGTGCGATTGGATAACAGCGCAAGCTCAGACGTGGCAAGCGCATCGATGGATGCAGTTGATATGGACTATGCTCCAGGTAGTGCCATGGTAGAAAAATGCAAGAAGGTTAACCACACGACGACTGTCTCACTTGACCAGAATACAATCAAAGATACACGTGAGCTAAATGCTCTTTCCAGACGCCTTCAATATCTTGAGGAAGTGGTGAAAGGACAGCAATCCTCGATTACGACTGCACTATGGACTCAGAATCCGCTCCTCATTTCTGATGCAGGCTCCAATATTCCTCTTAAGTTTATTTCGTTGCGTCTAGAGCATTGGTTACTCAAGACACCGACACGTCCTACCCCAGTTGAAATAACCCGTGGGACGAAGTGGTTTGTACAAGACTCATTTAAGGCGCGAGCAGACTGCACATTGCTCCAGTTTGATTCTATATCCGAAAGAGTCAAAGCTCAGCTACGAACAAAGGTTTCTATTCTTCCGGAAGATTATATGTGCCGGAAATCAGTTGTGAAGGAGACGAGTATATACTTTAGGAGCTTCCTAGACTTGTCAGAAGCACTCGGACCAGCATCACCGCAAGTTGTCAGAGACGTGATCATCGCAAAAAGGCTGGAAAAAGGTACCGACAATTATGTATCTGCCAGAGTGATAGGCTGTATGGCCGGTCCCAACACCGAATCTCTTTCTTACCCGTGCTATATGACAATTGGAGATTCTCTTGCTGTTATAAGGGATGACGAGGATGAACAACGGCACGTTGTATTTCGTCGGGATTGCACTTGGGATTCCATAGAGCAGACCTACTCCTATCCACTGGAAGACATAAGACTATCAGAGCTTAACTTCCAAGAACGCATTTCCAAGGTAATGAGTGCTGAAAAAGTGGTCAGCGGACCATCCGACCGGAAGGAGTCGTTCTACCTGCGATGGAATCTTCAATCCAATCCTTGTCAGTCTATATTTGCTGATGTAAATCGCAGCGACGTACTAGGAGTACTTCAAGTGCATGTCCCATTCATCTCTATCAAAGGGTCTGCCCATGTGAAGCAATTCATCACTGTTGCCAAAGTTCTGGGCCTCTTTAAGTAAAATCAATTCATTCATGCTACAGCAGTCTCCCGCTTTACTCATTTTTCACTTTGGTGAACTAAGAAGTTTCACTATCACATCAAATACGACCCCTTATAAATCGAAGTCGTGGACCATGACCACATCCTCATC